TAATTGGTAGGAATACTTAATTAGTTCAAAACTTCATCAATTATTAATAGCAACGCAGCCATATAGATTGCGAAAATTTTCTATGTTTGTTTGTCCATTATCCCGAAGAAGCCATTTACAGAAACGTTATCGCAATATATCCTTTACCTATCTATCAATATATTAAAATTTTAGCATATTGATAGACATATTTGCTAACAATATAGAATATATTAATCAACTGTTGAGTTGCTATTGGTAATCCTAGTCTCCTGCGGACATGCCAATATTGATCGGCCATATTTAATCCAACTCTGTGGTGGACAAGCCAATATTCATTGCCAATGTTGATCTATCTTTCATGAACAAATGCCAATTTTGGCTAGCCATAGTAATATCTTTCTTTCGTAAATGCCAATATTGACTGGCCTAATAACCATGCCATTGGTAAGCCAACTCTGCAATTCTGTCAAGTTGTTTGAATAATGGAATTTTTGTGTTTCATTGGCACGACGTTGGCAGCCAATTTCAGGCAATAAAGTAACGGTATTTCTGTTCACAAACTCTTCTACTGCAATGACCGTTGAAATTCACTGTTGCCGGTAAAATTCATTTTTACATTTGTTGACTTACTGGGTTTTGTCGTACAAGAATTTTTATTCTATTTTATTTATTCAGGGAACAGCGTAGCAGATTTTGATTTGCCTTTAATCTGGAAATTTATTCACATTTATGATGGTTTCATTAGCAAATTTTCATAATGGTTTCAAATTTTAATTGGAATTTCTAATAGGCTAATTTTAATTGTTTTGAGAATCTTCATACACAGTGAGATTTGTATATATTATTACAAATATCACGTTAGGTTTTATATCGTCGTGAGATTTATCTCTTATACGTGAATTAATTGATAACTATAGGCCTGGATAACTACTGAATATATAAACAGTTATATATAGTCTCCAATCCCTAAGATTTCCCTGTAATTCACTGATAAATAGGATTCTAAAAATATTGGTGCATATAGATTATTAGAATATTCATCAAACTATGAATATGAATCTAATATGTATAAATTTCATATAACCAACTGAAGTCAATTTAAAATAAATTCAATCTTGCGCTTGAAAATGGCAATTGTTTTTATTTGCGTCAGTTTAACCAGCACAATTTTTCTTTTACGGAAATAAAATTAGCATGGCAAAATTAGCAAAAAAATTATATTGTACAAATAAAATTTGTAATTATGAAATTTTCGTCGTAAAAAATAAAATTTATACATTTGAATCGGACACTCTATAATAAATAGATAAAGGCCTCAACATTAATTTGTGTCGGCTGGCTCACCTCATTCACCCAATAAATTAACAGAGTGTAATAAATCTCATTCATTGCGTCTTATTTAGTAATTTAAGATATTAATTAATTCAATTAAGGAGTCGCTGAACTTTAGAGCTGAAGCTAAGCAGCGTCGGCGTTACTGACGTCATAGCAGAGAGATTAATACTTTGTACCTTACTTTATAAACTTGTTACTTTGTAAACTTATTACTTGTAAACTTGTTACTTGTAAACTTGTTACTTTGTAAACTTATTACTTGTAAACTTGTTACTTGCAAACTTGTTACTTTGCAAACTTGTTACTCTTTAAACTTGTTACTTTGTAAACTTTTTCCTTTGTAAACTTGTTACTTTTCAAATTTGTTACTATGTAAACTTATTAGTTTTGCAAACGTATTACTTTATAAACTTATTAGTTTGCAAACGTATTACGTTATAAACTTATTTCTTTGCAAACTTATCACTTCGAAAACATATTATTTTTAAAACTCTTTACCTTATAGACTTGATACTTCGTAAACTTATAACTTTGTAAATTTATTACTTTGCAAACTTATTACTTTATAAACTTATTGCTTTGTTAAATGATCACTTTGTGAAATTTTTACTTTGTAAAATTGTCACTTCGTAAACTTATTATTTTGTAAATTTATTAACTTGTAAACTTATTACTTTGTGAACTCATTATTTTGATATTATATTACTTTACTTATACTTACTGAATTAAGATGCTAGTACACGAACATAAAGGTAGAAGTAAAAATTGATATACGTACATGAATAAAAATTTAAGAGCGAATTTAATGACAGAACATGAACAAAAACCTCTGAGAAATATTTTCATATAAGTAAATTAATATGGATCGATGGGAAAAAATATGTGCAAGGGAAAGATAGAAAAAGAAAAATTATGTCCATCCCCGGTTATCGCAAGAACTGCAGTTGTCGGCTCGTCGTTTTGATGAATATTTTTGAAAATTGTTAAAAAAAGTCTACGGACGCTACGCTCCTCCAATCAAGCAGTCAAATTGTCGTGGCTTTGATGATGGATGCGAGTATTTTTCGCCTGAACTTCAGTTAATATCGGAAGGAAAACGAAAATTGCGACTGCCACGTTTTTAGTAGTTGACCGGAAGCCCAAAAAGCGTTGTGTTGAAATTCATCCTGAAACGCATTCGTCGGAAATTCATTTAGGAAGTCTGAAGTAAAAAAACTATCGAAAAATTGGAAAAATTGAACTAGAAGAGAAAACAGCGTAAAATTGATTGAGTTGATCGTTGCATGTAAATTGCATACAAAACGTATGTACAAGCATTATTGGATGAAAAGCTTCGCTGATCCAATGAATAACTTACATCGTGAATGCCAGGACCAATTTTTGAATAAATATTATTCATGCTTTAATATTGATAGTATGAGATATGAATGATATTCTTTGTTAATATTCAATAGCAAACAAATAACATGCATACCTGAATACATAACAATAAACATCAGTTCTTTTTGCATCCGTTCGTTGATATGAGCTGTATAGGTTATGTAACATGCGCATATATTAGACAAAAAGTTCCACTGAACGCCTAATTTGAATTCCTTTTAATTAATTAATCAATCTGCTACAAATACCATTAGTTAAATATTAATTTCCCATAGTAATTTTTAGACATTTAAATTAACAGTTTGGCCGTATTAATAAACTTTCTGTTAAAAAAATAGAAAGTAAATAAAAATGTAATGAACATCACAAATAATTCCAGCAATTCCTTAAACTACTGTAACTTAACCGCCACATTTCACCACAGGATTATGAGGCGGCCTAGAGAAAAACTTGATCTAAACTTGATAGTTTCATACGCAATTCATGATGGCACATTATTCTTCAGCTTAACAGGATCGAAATGCAGATGTCCTCGCTTTTCAACGGCGATGTTGCTTAATGACCCAGAAATGAGCACTCAAAGAAATGAGCGAGACATTTTCCAAATAACGATGCACTCTCTGCCCTTATGTGGGTCATCCTCACCTAGTTTGGCACGGCAATAGGAAGTGTCAGCGCTACACTTGCTCTCACCGCTCGTTCTGTGTGGTAAGAAAGTGAGTCACTATTTGGACAACATTACCCATTAATTTTTCTGAATGACAGGGTGTTACCTGCGCTCCTTAACCACCACTTAACACCAAGGAGTTGTTTGAATTATTCAGGTGGCTGAATCTTGGCTCCTGAGAAAAAAGTAGTAGAAGGAAGGCTCACTCAAAATGTCACTAGACCGGTAATAATTGCTGGGTCAAGATATGGTCAATTCCTGTCTGAACAGTAAAATGTGGTAGACTGACTTTTTTATTGTAGTTTGCAATACAAGAAGCATTCAGGTTGAAAAAAATTGTATATGCGTACTTCCTTTCATACTGTAATGCATGTAACAAATAAACTATCAGGTTGAAGAAATTATTAAAGCAGCGGGAAAAGGTATTTATTTTATTATTCGTAAATTATGTAAATAAATTATTTATAAATTTGCATTTCCTGGTACTCCGGCCGTCATTACAAAGAAATATTCTAGACATATTTTAAACTGAGGTTATTTAAATAGAAGAAAAATACAGAATTGACAAATAAATTTTACAATATAACGAAGGGAGGATTTAGCTATTGAAACTGAAATAGCTATTATATTTAAAATATAATTATATTATTACAATATAATATAATGTAATTATTACTACAATTAAATCTGAAATTTCAATAATGCCGTAGCCATTGCATGAGTACAATGCAAATAAAATCAGGATTAATTAATTATACAGTGATCTTATAATTGTATAGCTTCAGAAAATTAAATGAATACCTTGCATGGTGTATGTCAGGGCTATTTATTTTATAATGCATGCTTGTTTATGAATGATATCATTCATTATCAAACACGTAGCTTGCATAACTAAAGACTACTGATCAATAACAAACATTCGGTTAATTAATAAGCCGATAGAGGCATTTCATTTACTGCAACTCTTGTGAAAAAGTTGCTAGAATAAGAAAAATTTTCGAAAAAAAATCAGTTTTAAAACTTTTCGGTACTATCAGAAATAAATTAGGAAATTCAATATTAGAATGTAATTATAGAATGAAAGAGAAAAATAAATATCTTATTTCAATAGATTATTTCATAGGCAATTTACATTAAGAAAAAAATTGAAACAATTTAGTGTTGTAATGATCGAACGACGGTCAAAATTGTCAGTTTTGATCATAAAATTGTACAAGTAGCGCATCACAAAATGACGAGATGTGTTGAACTGTTGCATCAACGTTGATGTTTTGATGCATGAAACTCCACGCATTGAGGCGCGCATCACAGCGCAACGCATGATGCATGCATATTTGGTCGAGGCTTGTGATGCCGGCATCACCAAGCATTTTTGTACGCTTGCACACCAATTGATGCACGCATATTGATGCACGCATATTGATGCACGCATATTGATGCAAGCATATTGATGCACGCATATTGATGCACGCATATTGATGCACGCATATTAATGCAGGCATATTAGGTGATGCAGGCATCAGCGGGGCGGGCCGGCCTTGCAGCATCATCCGTCAGTCAGGAAACAAGATCTAGCGCAGTCTTACCCTTGTTGAGTGCTCGTCACCTTGACGACGAGTATATAAGGGGAGCCATGGGACGTGTTCTCTACATCGTCACCTGCTCTTCTGAAGCCTGCACAGGAGTTCTCTAGAGCATCTTACTTGAGTCGCCATCATGAAGTTCTTGGTGAGTAAATAGCTTTACTTACTTACAACAATTTCACTCTAATTAAACTCAAAATTTATGTTAAAGTTAAATAAACGTATAGATAATCGTAACGTATTTTTGCTCTTACTAAGTTCATGGTGAGTTAATAACTTTACTTACTTACCACAACTTTATCTTAATGCCAAGTATTTTCAGCTTCGAGCCCTTAACATTGTTTTCAACCGTATTAAGTTCCTGGTGATGATGCAATATGCAATAACTTAATTACTTAACGCAACTTTATTTTATTTTTAAACTTTATTTACAACTTCGAGCCCTCAAAGTTGTTTCATTATTACTAAGTTCTTGGGGAGTAAATAACCTTACTTGTCGTAACGCTACTTTAACTTTAGTAAAATTTAGTTTTTTGAAACTTATAGCCCATAAAATATTTTCGCCCTTATTAGTTTCTTCTTGAGTTAACTTTTGGAAATTTTTGTAATTATTTAAAGAAGAACTTAAAACACTTGATGTTTATTTGCCAGGATAGAGTTACTGGTTAGTAAGCACATATCATATTTATTTATGAGAAATACTACTAAATACTAATTTTATATACAATGAAATACTTAAAAACTGCCAGATAGCAGAGATATACTGGCAGATAACACAAAAAAAATGAAATGTCGATAAAATTGTTTCGGGCATGACTAAAATATTTTAATCTCGACAATGTGAGTGATTAAGCAATTGATAGATTATATTGACTAAAATATATACATTGAATAAATCAATCAGAATTAGTCCAAACAGTTATACACTTTTTTCCAATGTGTAGGTAATCTTGAAAGAATTTTTTTTTTGCAATGACCCATTATATTTTCTTAGTGATACGGTATATGTGAAATTCAACGTGGCAATATTATTTGGATCATCAATGAACTGAACCAAGCTACTATCTTGTTAGTTAAAACTCCCCTCTGTTAATGAAACAGGAGAAGACAATAATGACTTTACACACAGAACATTAATTGAACTCGGTTGATTTGGTTGCGAAACTTGAGTGAATAATATTATTGTGATATTATATAAGGTGATTTTATACTATTCTGTTATTATGCATGCATAATGATTGTATTGAGTTTAGTTATTTTTTATCTTGAGCTGACATATTCCTGGTAGCAACACATCTCATCATTAGATGGTGGAATGGTTCCAGATTTTTCCTTCTATCTGCATTCGCTTAAAATACTATAATAATGAACTAAACTAAACTAAACCCGCAGCTAACTATATATAGTCACTTGTTCTATTATAGATGCCCGGAAAAAAATTTTCCTTAGAAAACTTAGCTTGCTTCTCATTTTTCCCGGTATTTCAGCTATTTTTACAGGTAGTTTAGCTAAAAAGTATCTTGTTAACTGATTGAAATTTGTTTCACAGGTAGCTATCTGCGCCCTGGCCGTAAGTGCCTCCGCTCAGGTTGGACCATCCGGCATTGTCGATCCTTCTGGCAACAACATCCAGTTTACCCACGACTTCGCTAACAACATCGCCGTCGTCGGACCATCAGGCATCGTGACCAAAAACGGACAGAACCTGCAACTCACCGCCGGTCAGGCCGCTCTGTCCCTCCCTGCCGGTTGGGAAGCTTTCCGTTCCGCCCTTGCCCCTGCACCCGTAGCCCCCGCCCCTCTCCCAGCCGGAGTTTACTCCGTTAAGGATGTCGTCGGTCCTTCAGGAGTTGTCCGTGCTGACGGAAACAACGTTCAGTTCTCCCAGGCCACGGCTGATAACATTGCCCTCGTAGGACCCTCAGGAATCGTCACCAAGGACGGCAGGAACATCCAGTTCGTGTCCAGGAAGAGGCGTTCCGTCCGTGACGCCATCGTCGGTTCCTCCGGGATCATCGCTCCCGATGGTCAGCTCCTTCAGCTCGAGCCCGGCGTGACTGTGGTTGCTGCTGGTCCCTCAGCCATCCTCCTGTCCAACGGAAAGGCTCTTCAGTATAACTTCAACTAAATCTTTAACTGAACTCACTCAACGGATTCTCTAACGACGATCTCCCTTGCCTTCACATCGATTTCGATTTTAATCGTACGTTCGATTGAAAGAAGTAACTCTGAACGATTCGAAGGTGTGCAATTATGAAAAATTCTCACCTTCAAATTGTTATTTTTACTTCACGCAAAATGTTTCGTATTGATTTTAATGAGATTAATTTTGAGGGTATGGCTTGGCACTAGCTCACTTCTTTCGCCCTGGAAGATTTACGATTATTAATCAGCTAAATATTGTACATCTCCGTTAGGGTGTTGAATGGTAGGCATCCATTTTACAATTATGATCAAAGTCAAAAATGAACTATATTTTATTTAAGTAATTTCAGTTCATTTTGCATACGCAAGAGGAACTGCATTAACAGAAGGAAAACTTTATGAGTTAAAAGGCGAAACGATGCTCAAAATATATTGTGAAATATATCATCGACTCATTTCTATCCTGAATCATTCTCGCGGATACGAACTTTATCCAGTTACCATCCTTGCTAACATTATATATAAAATTTTAGCAAATTAAACACATCTTTAATATACATATTCGCTTATAAAAGTCTCATTCATTCTAAAAACCTATAAATAGCAATGACCCGCTGGAATTTTTAGAACCGGTTATAATTTCCGGACTGATGAGCCCTTGCTAGAATTTTTGGGCTGTTGGGTACCTGCAATAATGTCCGGGCAAAAGAGTATTGGTAATAATTTCCGGGCTGATGAGTGACCGGCTTTAGTTTCCGGGCTGATGAGTGACCGGCTTTAGTTTCCGTGCTGATGAGTGACCGGCTTTAGTTTCCGTGCTGATGAGTGACCAGCTTTAGTTTCCGTATACACATCTAGATGTGTATAAGAGACAGGGTCCATATGGACCGCACGCTTCAAGTGAAGGGGATGGTCCATATGGACCGCACGCTTCAAGTGAAGGGGATGGTCCATATGGACCGCACGTTTCAAGTGAAGGGGATGGTCCATGTGGACCTCACGTTTCAAGTGAAGGGGATGGTCCATATATGGACCGCACGTTTCAAGGGAAGTCTCGCCTAAGATTTTTATCAAAACAAGGGTAAAATTTGACTTTGTTTAGTGACAGAAAATTGTCATTTGCACCGATTTACATGTAACCGTACTGTATCCGAACAGTTATAACACCTAAGGTCAATATATTTATAAAGGAGTTTTTGTTATTAAATTTCTTATAAAAATGATATATTGAATGATCAACATGAGCTTCTTGTTTGCCAGGTTCTAATTGAGGTCACCTGCCCTGAAGTTAGATGCATTTATAAAAAAGAGGTTTTACCTCATATTCAGAAATGAAGCCAGCAGTCTAGTTTTCAAACGAAATTATTTTGCTGCATATAAAATATTTACATTCACCATGATGTTTGATAATCTAATATGTGTTACCGTGTTCCAAATAGAAGTCGAAATTATAATATTTGGTCACGATGGAACGAAAAGTTTCTTCATGTTATTTCCTTCGTGCAATCTCTAGTTATTAAAACATGTTGAAATAAATAATTTAAATTAAAAAAACAATAATAAAATGGACATAATAAATAATAAATAATAAATATAAATAATAAAAAATAAATAATAAATAATAAAAAAAATAATAATAAATAATAAATTACTTGCTCTACCCACATACTTTAACCATCAATGAATATTACCACATTGTCTTCATGCAGAAAGCGTCATGATAGTGATTTCCGCAACCCCCAAATATCCGCAATATCCGAAACTCGGATATTCCGAGGAAGCGGATCCCGTTTCGCGGACGGCCCGAGCGAATGTTTTGCCCGCAGTTTTGCTGTCACTGCAAAAATAAAATAATAATAATCATGGCAGGCGATCTGGAACCAGCGAGTTTTTTCTGATTTCAAAAATAGAACAGGAAAAGCCTTGCACTTCTTGAAAATATTTTACGAAAATAGTTTAGCCTTTTTATTGCTGAAATCGCAAGGAACAAATTCTTGCGGAATGCATTTCCAATTGGATGCTTGCAGATCGGATTCAAATATTATTTAAACTTCAGTTTTCTTTTTTTTTTAACTTTGAAACGAAACGCAGAACTTGTGCAATCAACTGTCAATAAAGTCGTACTTGCCTAATCATTAAATATAAATTTAAAAACTGAGCTATTGGCCACAGATTATTCCTCGTTACACTTCAAGATATTTAGATGTTAATATATCTTAATATATCTCCTACAGACAGCAGGTATCTTAATATTCTGTTAATCGCCCACCACGGTCGCGCTGATGCACCACCTTCGACGTGTAGATGACTTTTTACAATTGACAATAAGAAAGTTTTGCGACTTTGCAGAGGTCTCGAACCTTCGATATAGTTACACTCAGCTTAGTGTTACCTGTACCACAGCAGTAAAGCAGCCAAATACTCATAGGAATGAGAAACTTAGTCCAAATTACAATACATATTCATCGGGACCCAGTTTGGCCCGGAAAAAAATGCGTATCCTTGCTACGTGAAAAATGTGTGTCACTAATTGAAGAATATGACCCATTCAGTTGTCGATTGAATAATATACGTTTAAAAATTACTTTTTAAAGATAAGACATCTAAAGAATCTAGTGTCCCCATTGTTACAGATGTACAATGAATTTCTCCTTTTATTTTCGAATATTAAAGAAATTAATTTCTCAAATTTTTTCAAAAATTTTTTTATTCTGTCAAATGATTCATGCATTGCCGCCGACTTCACACAAGTGTGCAATATTTCAGTTCAATTGGACAGGTACAAGTGTGTCAAATATTAGTTATAAGAGTTATAAGATTTTTTGCTGACAAAATTATTTTTTCATTTTTTTAACATTGAAATTTTTTTTTAATTTTTAAAGTCATTTATTTTGTCATTTGATTCATGCATTGTCTCCAACTATACGCAAGTGTGCCAAATTTCAGATCGATAGGATAAATAGAAGTGTGTTAAATTTCAATTATAAGATTTGTAGCAGACAGACAGACAAGAAGTATTGAAGTTAGAGAGAAGTGTTGTAAAAAGTAGACAGCTATACTTCACGCTACTGGTTGGGTTAAATTGTATAACTTGAGTTGCTACTACATTCAATAGTCACGCTGAGACAGAAAACCATCATTTTCTAGAATTCCACGCTGTTATTTACTATCTACAGTCATCAACTCAATGTTTATTATCGCCATATTTAAAATGATTTCATTCGCTAAGACTATAGAAAAACGAATCATCATGTGGGACTGTGAAGATAAAAAATATGTGACAAAATATTGCTGAAATAAGTACTGATACAATGAATATTGATAAAATAAGTAAAATAATAACTATGATAAATAAAATGTGATCAAATATTTGTATCTAGCAGGCGTGGTGTGGAGATGGACGTACCAAGGCATTACGTACGATAACTCCTCTAGAGGCCCAGAATGCCATTTATAATTCCTTAAAATGTCATCTATCCGAGCATTTATTATTTTTCAGTCATAATGTTTTGTAAAAAAGGATATGATTTTCGTGTTACAAAACTTCAATAAAAACTATCAGTACATAGCACATTGTGATGGTTTCGTTCTACTGAGGTCAAGAGCGATTATCGCTGCTGTAGTTCTGAAGAACTCTCTCCCAAGGAGCGAGTTCTGATGACCGAACTTGAGCGACTGCCAACCACAACACTACACTCAGAAAAATTTATGGGTCATACTGTCCGAGTAATGACACCCATGTTATTTTATCCTCAGTACCAACTGGGCGCTTGTACGCTAGTTTGACGAAATAATCTGGGTCAGCATGACTGAAACACAGGCAAAAAATGCATCGCTTTCTATACAATATCTCACACATTTCTCTGAGTGTGCCACCACACGTACAGTCAGCAGCAAAAACAAATGGGTAATTATTGGAGAAGTTTGCGACAATTGCCTCATAGATTCGCGAGGCTTACGTCTTTTCCGTGTTTTAGTGAAGGTTTGGCTGGCGGTCAACTAAACTAGTGGAGAAGTTTGTACATTTTTCCGGCCTGGCAGCGAATGTCGTGTGGCAATACTTGATGGAAGGGATGTTTGTCATTTGACAGTTGATTAGAGAGTAATATATTAAATTATTAATATTGTTATTATTTATTATTATTATTGTTATTATACCTATTATTACTATTAGAATTCTTACTGCAATTGATATTTTTCTCATGTTCATATTATACCAGTTAAACAGTCATTTGGTCAACAAAGATTAGGAGAATTGCTTCAGAGGATAGTTCGTTCAGACAAGAAAATAAATGGATCAAAATTTTCATGTAGAGGCCTATTTCCTTACCTTCAGAATGAGCAGAAAGTTCACTTAGCAATGATAAGTCCCTTTGCCGGACCAAGCTGGGTCAGGATTAGGACAAAATCTCACTCATTTATCTTAGTGTCACCGGAGAAATAAGTTCAATTCAATACTTCGGCATTCGGTAATAAATGCTAGTATTCGATGCCTGAAAATTTAAAAGGAGATAGAATTTGTTTTGGTAGTTGGAGGTTTTATAGACCTGCGAGATTTTTTAAAACTTTCAATATTGGCTACATTTTCAATCAAATTTTTTTCAGAAAAAGAACCCTTGCAGCACGAGCGTCGTAAAATTTATGTAATTCGTTTCAAGCGCATTATGCTGAATTTAGTTTATATTTTTTAATGTAATAATTTTTTCTCAAATTCATAAACGACTTTTATAAATTTCTATATTTTGCCGAATTTCCCGCAAATAATAACACTATAATCAAGTATTTATTAATAACCATCCCTGTAAGTTATTAATATCTGCAGCATATTAGGCGCTCTATTGTCGATGACGCAAATTCACTCGTTCCGCATACAGCAGCTGCTAGAAAACGACGCTGATACTGTAATCATAAAGCGATTTTCCGCTCATATCAGCCGTCGATAATTTTTCAGAGAGGATGCAAATTTTCGAACACGGACAAGGGAATCTCATAACCAGGCACAGTCCCGGGAAAATACGATATTTTTGTCGCCCTGAAATTGAGCTTTTAAATATTCAGATGAGAATAAAAACGTCAACTGTACAAGGCAGCAAAAAATGATAATATCGGGTTATTCGTGAGGCATATCATTATAACACAACTCACATTGTATTGAGTATTAACTGTACATAATCGTGACACTGGGAAACAAATGGCTTCGAATTGGAGACGCAACGATGAAGCAGACAAACGGTGAACAATAATGTAGCTCTGTGATACTTACTGCAAGTAGCACTTATACGCTTATAGTCTCGCCCATTTCTCTGAGTGCACAGCTACAATGGATGAAACAGTTTAGACACTTCAAAAATATTTAAATCAAATTTCTAAATATATTGTACAGTACCACATGCGTCAGTTCGTATCAGTTCAAGTGATATAATAATATGTTGTAGAAATAACCG